GATGGAGAGATCGAAAACAGAAGCTTTATATATCGAATCATCTGAGAACACGTGCAATATGAATGATTAGGCACCCATCGCTGACATCTGGATAATTCTACTACGCCCACCTCCCACATCAAATGGGAAGGCAGAAAGAGAACTATGAAAATCAAGTTTCGAATTGGTGTGTTTACCATTGATGTGACATGACTGTGAGTAATAAACAGTTGTGTTGGAAACTTCGTAATGTAGTAAGTGTTAATACTGTTTCACTTTGTGTGTGTGCGTATTTGTGTTACAGATCCAATAAGCATATTAACATAGAACTATGTACTGCTGCAACGCTCAAGAAAGCGGTGCCCCGGTTTGCGTAATACGTGTCCTGACCATCTCAATCGATGTAGATTCACAATTTGATCAACTAACTCGTCTAACACTGCATCTAAACACAACATTACCCTCTGAATTATACCACTTGCATGGTCAAACAAGGCCAGTCCCTTCAGATTTTCCATTTTCAATGTCCATATCTTAGTCAAAGAGAAGGACAGAGCCAACTGCAGAACAGTATACATGTCGATTGATAGATAACTAGGTCACTTTTTACATCCTTGTTGAGATTCTGTTAGATATCAGCCTATTGAGGTTGATGCGACTTCCCGAATAAGTGGCTTCACCGGTAGAATCCTCGTCAACCACGCATGTGGTCTGGGGTTCGATCCCCAGTCGGCTCATTCCTAATCATCGCTATGTCGGTAATAAGACCGGTCAGGCATGAGGCTAGCAAACCCGCCTCATAAAAATAAACACCATTGCTACCGAAACTCAAAAGCCTTAGCTTGAAGCCACATGTTCCACCTGGAATGTAAAGGAATATAAAAAGAATAAATGAAATGGTCAACACATTCAACCATTTCACTGCCTGCCTTTAAACTAGGAGTCGGTGTAATCCAACAGTGCAGTACTACCTTAAATTTGACAGGATTATATATCATGCGAAACGTTTGAAGATTTCTGTTTAAGGTGTTTAGAGGGCTCTCAATTATTTTTTTCGAATAAAGAAAGAACAAACATTTTTGAAAGACGCCATGTTTGTCATCTGCAATACTATGGACGACGCATCCAAGATGTTTTGAAAAACTCAATTCGGCTTATCCCAACATTGCATTTATAATCGATCATAAAAGTGACAACCATTTCCACTTCCTAGATCTCAATATAAACAGAAGAAATGATGAGACGATTGAAAAATTCATCTATAAGAAAGAACCTTAGACTGGTCAGTACCTGAATTATCTCAGCTTTTACCCAATCAGCTACAAACGGAGCCTAGTAGAAACGGTCTTCAGCAGAGCTAGGGCGGTATGTTCAGAAGATAAGACTGAAGAGGAAGCCGCAGTTATTGAAAAGAACCTTACCAAGAATGGATATCCTCGAAAGTTCATATCAAAATATGGAAGTGAAAAATCACCCCAAGAGGAACCCGAAATAGTTGAAAAGAAACCAGTTTTTATTTGTCTTAAGTACAAAGGGCTTGTGTACTGCTCAGCAGTTTATTCTGTCCTCCTTTATGGCTGTAGCGGCACATGGCCATTGAAAGTGGAAGATATGAAAAGGCCGGCTAGCTGTCTTTGATCATAGGTGTCTGCATTCTATCTCTCGCGTGAAGTGGTATAATAGGGTGAGCAATATTGAGGTTAGGCTTCGTCGAGTGCTAGGTAAGGAGGGGAAATCAGTCGACGAGGCTATGAAGTTACATCGATTGAGAGAGATAGTTAGAACATGTGTTACGCATGTCTAGCCATCGTCTTCCTCGACAACAGGCAATTTTAGCTGATATAGGATCTACCAGGTAGGAAAAAAGGTAGGTAGTGGTGGTCAAACCCAAACATGGCTTCATCAGTCAATGCAATCTACAACAGTTAGTTTAAGCCACGTAGGAAGGTGTAGACTTCTTGGTTGGGGTCCTCGGGATGGTAAAAACTAATGAAGGCTGGAGACAATCGGTGATATGGCTGGTGCAGATGCATCCACTCCTTGTGACTTATAATATCCAATAAAACTATATTGTTCTTCCATACTACCATTCTTTTAGCACTTATCTCTGTTTTTAATCTCTTTTTACTTTCTTCTCTTACTTTATGTGCTACAAGGAGGGAGTGTGGCAACTCGAACTGCTGCACATCTGTGGAAAGTTCTATGTTGAAACCAGACAGTCAAAGTACAAAGAGGTAGAAGTATCTACAGCAACCGATAAAAGAATTAAAGATACACTGGAAAAAACGTTTTCCGCTGCCACTAGACTTGTTCTACTTTACAACACGATATATGCTCGTTAACTCAATCAAAAGTAGATAAGTTTGTTAATCATATCAACTCCAACTGTATTTACCAATCCACCTGCATTTGCGGCAACAACTACATAGAAAGGAGTGAGAGAAGAGCGTTCACCAGCTTCTCTGAACATATCCGTATAATTGCTTCATACAGCGAATAGTCCTCAAATGCAATCACTAGACACCTAATTAACACGGGACATACAATGGAAATTAGTCAATCTTTCAAGATAATCATTACAGAAAGAAAAGCATGGTTACTTCGGTTCGCAGACGCTACTGTTATCAAAAAACTTCGACACCGACCGCTGTATACAGAAAGATAGCGTGACTAATCTCTCACTATCCTGGTAACCATAACTGTTTTGTTTATGTGCTTTTATGTTTTTTTAATTATGTTGCATAACATCCCATTTAATTTTGATTTTTACTTACTGAGTTAAACTCACTATGGAGTTTCCAAGTCTACTTAATTGCTTTGTCTATCTTATAATTTTACTTTGATATTCATCCACACCCTCTTGAAAGTTTCATCATAATATGTATAAAGTCACTCTGTTGTTCGATCTTATATTTTGTCTCTAGTCAAACTTTGTTTCCAAGCAGAATTTGTACTCTATCCTCCCCCCTTGTCTAATTATACTTATAAATAATTAGTCATTTAACACTGAATAATCTGTTTACTTACAACATCTACGGAATTATGCTGCCTATACTTTCTCGCTATAACTTGAAGTCACAGCGAATAAAGTATGCTCAAAAATGTTGACTTTAATACAGTTTCTAGATTTTCCCGTCGATTGATTGAACCGAAGTGCTCTTTCTAAGGTTGAAATGTCAGCTTCTCGTGCAGATGGTTCTGTAACAACAGAAGACAAGGGCCAGGCAACAGATCGTTTATTTAGGAAATCAACAGATATTTATAGATTTTCATGTACATTATTATCGATTATTGTAAGCAAACAAAGTCTTCTGATTGGTGGTTTCTCGCTGAACGTTAATCTTTCATCTCTTTGTGGCCGTTCAGATTATCTATCTGCAATTGTATCCGCCTACGCGAAGTGTGCTGTGACCGGTTGTGTGAGTCAGTCTTTGTTCTTATTTTTACCATGACCAATATTGGGGACGTAAACATTGACGTAAATTACTGTCTACCACTTTTGGCTAGCAGCCAGCTCTCACCACACTTCGACGATGTCTGGGCATGTAACTAGGAGTTACTTGGGGGATGGTGACTAGCAGTGGAATCCAGACAGAATGCGCGTTTCGCCCTATTTGGGACTCGTCATCCGGATGTACCTGCATTCCTCAGTGAGTGATTATGTTCCCATCGAACAGTGTCCATAGTTTCAAACGCCAAGACGCTATCCATTAGACCACTTGGGCCACGACAGTCAGCCACCTCTTGTGAAACGGGTCACATTAATTATTTAATTCAATTTTTGAAACTATGGGCACTGGGTTCGAGCCTCGGTGGGAACTTCATTCACCACGGAGTAATGCAGGTACATCCAGCTAGCGAGTCCCAAATAGGACTAAATGCGCATTCTGTCTGGATTCCACTGCTAGTCACCATCCATCAATTGACTTCTATTGTTTGATTTTGTTTAAGGTGTAGGCAATCGAAGAGAATCCACGAAATAAGACGAGCTCATATTATCCTCCATGTATGTTCGTCATTTCCTTATTCAAACTAATAAAGGGAACGCGGTTGTATGAGAAGCTCTGCACTTTATCAGCGTCTTCACACGCACCTTTTTTTAAAAAAATACACTGTAAAGAACAGAGTGAAATAATGCAGATGTGCTCGGACCCCATTATTTATTTCCACTCCTTTGCGTTCTAAGTCGAAAACACAGAGCTTGAAGCTGAAGTTTTGAAGTTCCAGTAGCATTGGTGTTTCTTTTTCCACCCATCCCCCGCCGCTCTTCGTCAGGCTTACACTACACCGGCTAGAGGAGGTAATGGTATGCGACGGCGGCGGGGTGGATCAAACTCCGGATCATGTGCGTGGTTGATGAGTATCCTACCATTGAACCACAGACTGAAAACCCAAGGGAATAGTAGTGATAATAGTAATAATAATAATAATAAAAGCAACTGATTACTAACAATAACAATTCATGTTTTCATTTCTCCTTTTCAACAACAACAAACGAAAATAAGCAGAAATTGTGTGCCAATTGTAATAATAATAATAACAATAACTCTCAAAACAAAGCAAATGAATGCATAGTTGAAATTGAAAACAGTTCACATTTAATCCCAACATCATAATAATAATAATAAGTAATCGATGTAACACAGTGTAAAAGAGATATTAACAAGGGCTTTTTTTTAAAGCTTCCAAATATTTAACTGATAGTCATTATCGACTGATTAATATAAATCGCTTTATTGTCTATTATAAACAGTGAATAACCTTCAGCACTTTTTAAAACAACCAGACAAATAACTGAAAGGTGTCAGTTTCCGCTTAACAATGAGTAGTAAGTAGGCTACGATGATATTTTCAAAACGGAACAAAATGGAAGACAATTTACAGATTAAAATTATAAAATATTATTGTTACCCTCTATCTCTCTCTCTCTCTCAGTCAATCAATCAATCAATAAAATATATGTATATGTATGTACGTCAGCAATGGCATTTATAGCAATGTATAATATATATGTATGATATAAGTGATGATGTAATATAAAATATAATCTAGGCGACAGGAAGAGATCGATCCATCTGAACGCGCATTTGTCCAGTTGAAAGACTGTATAAACAAACAAAACAATAAATTGAATGAAAAAGAAAAATAGGGGAGATAAAGGGTAATATTAGTAGTACAGATTGATATTCGTTAGAGAACCACTGAAAACCGGGCGGGTGTACTGGACAGCCGGTTTCGTCCCCTCAGCAACACTGCTAAGGATTGAGTCTAGGAGATTTAGGCCACGAGGGATGTTCATTGACCTTTCACAATCACAATTGGGACAGAAATCAATGGCCACTGACAACCAATGTCATCAGCAAGTATTTCTCTTCACACTTGGACTTGATAGACTGAATCGGTCGCAATTTCTCACAAGAACTTCAGGTAACTTTGTCATGTAACAAGTTAAAAACTAGTGAGCATCAGATTAAATTTGTTGGCACCAGTTGGGTCTACCAAGTCAGATGCAAGGAGAAATACTCGCTAATAGCATTGGCTGGCGGCCACGTTAAAAATCTTGAATTCATAAGCGTTAGAATTCATGGGTCATTCGGTTACAATTCCAACGGATGAATGATTAACGAGCTCACCTCGTAACCTGGAAGTTTTGGGTTCGTTTCGCATTGTTAAGAATTCTGCGTAAAGTTTCCGAGGTTCTTTTCGTGTATGGAATTACTACTGATGATTTAGATTCCTTATTGTTGGTGTTGTCTTGCGCATATTTGACATGCATTTCGTCATTATTATTACTATTACTATTATTGTCATTATTATTATTATCACTATGACTAGTATCATTAATTATTTTATTTTTACATTTCCCTACATAAAAGTGGCATTTAAACCCCCCACAAACTCAACTAGAAACAAGCTTTGTCGGTTAAAGGATCAATCCTGTGGGGCCTTTAAAACAAAACAATTTAGCTTATCTAATACCCTGCTGGAATGATTGTCAGGTCAAATACATTGGTCAAACTAGTAGAACAGGAACAGTCAGACTAGCCAAACATAAAAACCTAGCTAAATCTAGATTATTTGAGCCGAATAATATTAGAAATCTAGGGAATAGTTCAGCTATAGCACTCACTACATGCAATTGCACACAACCATACTATAAAATGGGATAAGATGACAGTTTCAAAATCTAATGTAACGGGGTGAATGAAGGGAGACATTGATAACCGAAGCTTTGTTTATCGCATCAACTGCAAATACATGTAATAGGAATGATTCAACACCTATCCACCCAGATATCTGGAAAATTCTACTACCCCTACGACAAATAGGAGAAGACAACGAAAACTATGAAACTCAAGTTTCGAAGTCGTGCGATTACAATTGATATGATTATGAACAATAAATCTTGTTCGAAACGTCATCCAGTAAATAATACTGTTTCACTGTGATACATCTAATAAACAAACTAATATGGAATTGTTCACGCTGAAGTTTCTGTAGCACCACAGTGCCTAAGTTTTACACGTATATATTAATATAGTAGAATGCTCGCTAACCACACATATGGTCCCGGGGTTCGACTCCTGCCCAGCTGACTCACTAAATCTTGTCTACTTTACTAATCAACAATAAGCTTGAAAAAGACAGAAGACTGGGTGTGAGGCGAGAAACCTAACTTTGTGAAAGCAACATTGTGGCTACTATGATTTCAAAACTACATACCTGAAGGCCTATATTCCACTTAGAAGCTAAGCTAAGGGATAAGTGAAATGAATATCTAAAGAAACAGATTTCAAATGAGGTTGGTTCATTATTGAAAGGTAAACTTTTGAACTCAGCACTCGGATAAAAGTGGAATAAATCCATATGCAACTCCAATCCTTAGCTAAATAAAGTAACCAATTAAAAATTACTGCTAGAACTATGAATGTTTCTCAAATAACAACTAGAATACTAAAACCATTTGAAATAGACATAATATTCTATAGTTTGGTTTGTAAGGGTTAGTTTTGTTTTTACGAGTTGATCACGGATTGTTATCAGTTAGAGAACCATTAAAACCTGGACTAACGCTTACAAACCAAACTACGGAAAATTAATCTGATGCTTGCTAGTGACTTGCTACAGGATGGAGTTTCCTGGAGTTCTAGTGAAAAGTCGTGACCAGTGAGGTCCATCCAGATGTCACGTGTTAGGATGGATGTCCCACCGACGACATTGGTTGGGGTCGCGCTAAAATCACGAATTGGTAGAAGTTAGAATTCATGAGCCACTGAATCGGGTCCCAGTGGCTGAATGGCATACGAGCTTGCCTTCTTCACCGGAAGGTCCTGGATTCGAACCCCAATGGGTGCGTACTGCCAATGATTCCCAAACTAGGACGGAGGAAACAGCTGTCCAGTACTCCCTGGTTTTCAATGGTTCTCTAACTGATATCAATCCGTGATCAACTCGTAAAAATAGATATAATACACAAACCAACACGATGACTTTATTCAATGGTAAACAAACTGAAACACTGAACAGTTAGAGAAGACAGGAACAACATCATCTACAAAATGAACTACATGAACTGTGATAAGCTTCTATATTCGTCAAAGTAGGCGTCTCTTTCGACTCTAAATCCAGGAACAAAAACAAGCTGTGAAAAGGTACGACATGTATTCTTTCATATTGATGTACATAGACCAATTACGGATACCAATTTGACTGGGAAAATGTAGAAAGTTAAACAGTGGGAACATTAGACAAATGCCTAAAAATTGCTAGAAGCCTGCTACTCGAACGAATCAGTGATCAACAGACACATAGATCAAATTTACCAACTAACAAAGAATAAATCAAATAATCAAATTCCAAGTCAATAAAAAAGTGATGCAAATTAACAACCAATCACGACAACGATTATCAGGAGACACAATCACGTCATCATTCGTGAAGTATTAAAATAAATTCATTTCATACGGAAGCCTTGTAATTAAATCAACCAGTTCAGAGAAGGCAACCTCATCAAAAACATCTACTTGAGGTATAAGCCTTCGCTATTATTTCAAGATCTTTGCAAAAAATCACCAGGGAAACTTGTGACGGGTAAAAATTACAAACATGCATGCATACAAATAGGATAATATTTAAGTGTTGCTTTGTAGGGATTTGATTAATTACAGGATTTCATCATGAGGTAACATCGGTTAGAGAACCATAGGGAAACCAGTAAGGAGTCCTGGACAGCTGTTCCATCCTCGTAGGCTGGAACTCGTCAGCAGTACACCCACCAGGGTTCGAATCCAGAACTTTCCAGTTACGAGGCGAGCTTGTAGACCATTAAGCTATTGGGAACTGATCCCACCTTCTGTACCCCCGCCCCAACTGATAACCTCTCAAGAGTCCAAAAGCAGGACAAAACAACTGGCTGTTTAGTACTCACAGGTTGTTGTTTTTTTTTCAATGGTTCTCTAACTAACCTATGTGTCAGTCAGCTAGGGATGAAATCCAATCCAATAAGAGAGATAGATAATTAACCGACTTACTTTTTAGTTAATTTATCATAAAATGATTTAGGTATAATAGTGAATTTCACTGGCCCGGTACATTCATCAATTATTTGTGTCAACGCTTTATCTTTTAATCCAACAACATTTTTCCCATTGACTTCAATAATATGATGATTAGTGAGTAGACCATTACGTGCAGCACTTGAATCTTTAACAATAGCTTTAATTAATCCATGACGAATTTCTACACCCACAGTACCAATACCATCTTTGTGAACAGTGACAACACGTTCAAATGGACTATAAAGAAGAAGAAGAGGAAAATAGTATATTGAATATATAACACAATATATATATATATAACTAAGTGCCAGAGATATGAAAACGTATTACTGAGGCATTCCTATGTTCCACTAGGGCATCTAAGGAAATAATAATATGGTAGTAATAACAATAATAACATTATGGTTACCATGATAGTGGAATTGGCTGAATAATTTTCTTCACTACATATAGTTCCGGTTTCTCTAACTGAATGGCTAAAGCTTCAGTAATGAATGCTCAGATGAGACGATAGCGTATTGCCTTTGGCAAGTTATCCTTCACTTTGTAGATTACTTTGAAGAAGGTGCTTGTTGAGATGGAAGGACAGGTGTCCATATCAGTTGACCTGTTGCTGTGAAGTCAGGTACATTGGTCATTCGACTTGTACCCTGTCTAAAATGGTTCAAAAACACTATGTCGCATGGTTACGGAGAAGTAATAATGGCTCTATAAAGAGTGAGACAATCAACACCCGTCACTTCATCTCCACAAACGCGGCTCTCAAAGTAATCTACAAAGTGAAGAACAGCCTGCCAAAGGCAATAAGCCTTCGTCTCCTCTGAGAATTTTTTATTTTATCCCTGTACGTTTCCAGTGGAACATAGGACGGCTTTAAGCTAGAGGCTTTAAGTTTCATTCGCAGTGGTGTTAATTTTTACTGCATGTGGTTGCTAACCTCATGCCCAACCTTCCCTCTTTACCAGTCTTATTACTGGCTTAGCGCGGTAAAGGAGTGTGTCGGTGGCCGGGGATCGAACCTTGGACCATATACGTGGTTGGCGAGCATTCTACCGCTGTGCCACCGACGCCCTCTGAGAATTACTGAAGCTACACCCATTCGACAGCGTCGATCGAGAGGTGATTTGGAAACTACTTCGCTACTACGGGGTGCCACCGACAATTATACATCTCATCCAACAGCTATACGACAATGCTGCATGCCAAGTATTCCACAACGGGAAACTTACGGAATCCTTCGAAGTAAAGACGGGAGTAAGACAAGGCTGCCTACTATCTACAATGATTTTCCTGATTGCAGTAGATTGGATAATGCAACAGACAGCGGACCAGGTAGCGAGGAAACAGGCATAAAATGGACCCAAACAAAAAACTTGGAGGATCTGGACTTCGCCGATGATATATGTCTGATTTCCAACAAACTGGAAGACATGCAAACGAAAAGCAACAAGTTAGCAGAAGAAGCATCAAAGATAGGACTCCAGGTGAACATAGAGAAAACAGAGGTAATGAAAATTCCTGGGCAACACCACCAACAGCAACAACAACTGACAACAATCAGCATAAATGGGAGGAACCTGAAAGAAACAACCTCCTTTAACTACCTTGGAAGCATCGTTTCAACTACAGGCGGAACTGAAGAGGATATCAAAGCAAGAATCGGAAAAGCAAGACAAGCTTTCACTACTCTCAAGTCTGTGTGGAGGTCAACAACACTCAGCATCAAAAATAAGATCCGGATCTTCAACTCCAATGTGAAGTCAGTGCTACTATACGGATCAGAGACTTGGCGCGTCATAAAAAGCATCTCAAACAAACTACAGACCTTCATTAACAGTTGTCTTCGCTCAATGCTATTCAAGATCAGATGGCCAGAAAAGATCAGCAACAGGGATCTCTGGGAGAAAACCAACCCAGCAGGAACCAAATGTGTAACAAATAAGCAGGAAGAAATGGAGGTGAATTGACCATACTCTGAGGAAACCATCAAGTGACATCAATAGACAAGCTATTGCTTAAGTGGAACCCGAAAGGGAAGCGGCGAGTTGGTCGTTAATGTGAGGGTGACATGGAGGAGGTCATGTGAAGAGAAGATGAAAGCATGTGGGCATACTTGGAGCCAGGTGAAAACGTTAGCAGAGAACCGAACGCAATGGAGACGTGCGGTTGAAGCCCTATGTTCCTCTAGGAATTAAAGGAAACAATAATAATACCGATTCAGTTAGGGAAACTGGAGTTATGCATTCAAAAGAAAATTATTCAACCACTTCTACTACTATCATGGTGACAGCCTTGTTGATTTCTACTGACTTCATTTTTGTCTGTTTGTTTGTTTGGTGAATTTTGCAACTCCTTATAACTCTTGTATTTATTTAGAAATTTTATATAATTCCATATTTCCCACCGTTTCTACGTCCATCCTGATTACATACAACTCACTGACTAAATTATTCATCTTATTAAGCAATTCTAATACATTTATTCAACTGCGATTTATGCATTCACAGATATTAACAATTATGTTTGCGACAACTCATCACTTTTGTTGTTATTATTAACCTCTTTTATGAGAGAAAACAAAAATTTCAATATAGAAAAAATCCCCATTTAGACATTTAGAAAGCAGAAGGATTGAGTGAAGAAATATTCACTTTTCAATCAGATCCTCATCTATGGCTCTACTCTAATATATCCATAGCATTTTTATTACAATACACAACAGTTTACCAATCATCAAGTGGCACTGATATGTTTGTTAACAATAATTAGTCAGTGTCAACATGTCAAGGCGCGAGGGATAACTGACGAAAAAAATCAATACACACATTTAAAAGGTAGAAGTGGTTAGAATAAATTAATTTTACAAGGATAAAACGTAATTAAAGATGAAGTGGTCAGAAAAAATTAAATAATTTGGACAATTATAATTTTTATAATTTCTAGGGGGAGGGGGGCGAAGTAGTACGGTTTATACATTCATGTAACGATTCTGAACACACACAGGTTTGGCTTCTTCAGGTGGATTCCTATTGCTTCAGCTGTCGTATGTAGAAAACGAACTCGTAGAGCAAAATTAAGATTAGTAGGAATGCGATAAATAATTTTAAATATGCTATATTAACGTCAACCTTATGCTCACTATCTACAAGGTGTGCTACAATACAGCTACGAATAGATCATGTTCGTCCCTTGCTTAACCATGTTGGATGATGTTCGGAAATACGACGATGAACCTGCCTAATTGTACGCTCAATGTAGCTGGCTCCGCAGCTGCAGTCAAACTGGTAGATACACATAGAAGAGGCAAATTTAGGTAGTTAATCCTTATTTCTCGAACGTAGAGTAGGGGTGGTTGTGAAGAGACAACGTAGCTTTGGTGCATGATAAGCTCTTTTAACTGTATTCTTCAAGCGCTGTGTTATTATTTCGCTGATGTTGTCACCGTGGAACTGCAGTTTTATGAACACTGATTTTTTCGGAATTATTTTATTTTTTCTGACAACTTCATCTTTAATTACGTGTTATCCTTGTAAAATTAATTTATTCTAACCACTTCTACCTTTTAAATGTGTATTGGTTTTCTTAGTTAATTATCACCCACGCCTTGACATTTTGACACTGACTAATTATTGTTAACAAACATATCAGTGCCACTTGATGATTGGTAAACTGCTGTGTATTGTAATAAAGATACTATGCGTGTATATTAGAGTAGAGCCAGAGATGAGGATCTAATTGAAAAGTAAATATTTCTTCGCTGAATCTTTCTGTTTTCTAAAACAAAAATTGTGCATTATAATAATTGCGATTGTACAACTAAAAAGAAGACAATGAATTCGTCGAAATCAACCCTCTTTGTTGAACTGCTTGTCTTTCTTTTTTTTCTTATTAATGTTTAGATGAGAATTTCTCATAAATATAACAAAATTAATAATACATAAATTATTTATTTATTTATTTATGCAAGTGAAGTAAAAGAAACAGGAAATTAACCAACTTCTACTATTCTTACTATTTATCTCCATTATAGATAAGATTTTATTTTGAGAAATTGTTACACAGTGTAGTGTTATACAGTAATATTAACTGATGCGACCACGTTTCGAGCGCAAATTATTGCTGCAGCTCATAATCCGGTCGGTCGGTCAGTTTTCGACATAGAACTTTGCACAAGTGTGCGGCAGTTCAAGTCGCCACACTCCCTCCATGTAGCACACAAAGTAAGAGAAGAAAGTAGAAGAAATGCAAAATAGAGACGGTAGACAGGAATATGCGACAAAAGGAATAGTAATAACGAAGAACAATATAGTTTCATTGGAAATTATAAGTCACAAGGAGTAGATGTACCTGCACCGGCCACTGAGAACGATTTTGAGCCATATCACCAATTGTCTCCAGGCTTCATTGATTTTTACCACCCCGAGGACCCCAACCAAGAAGTATGCACCTTCCTACGTGGCTTAAACTAACTGTTGTGTATTTCATTGACCGGTGAAGTCATGTTTTGGTTTGACCGCCGCCAGCTCTTCTCCAGCCTGACCCTATGTCAGCTAACATTGCCCATTGTCGGGGAAGGCGATGGCTAGGCATACGTAACACATGTCCTAACCATCTCAGTCGATGTAGCTTTGCAGCCTCGTCGATTGATTTCCCCGCCTTACCTAGCACTCGACGAAGCCTAAACTCAATATTGCTCACCCTATTATACCACTTCACACTGGAGATAGAACTCAGACACCTATGATCAAAGACAGCTAGTCTTTTCATGTCTTCCGCTCTCAATGGCCAGGTCTCACAGCCATAAAGGAAGACGGAGCAGACTGTTGAGCAGTACACACGCCCTTTGGTCGATAGTCGGATATCACGTCTACGCCAGAGACGGCGTAAACTGGCATATGCGAAACTATCCCTCTGTATTCGTGCTGAGATTTCGTCAGAGATCAACCCGTTTGGGCTGATGGTACTTCCCAAGTAAGTGAAGCGGTCAACGTGTTCTACCACTTCACTTCCTATTTCTAATCTAGGGGTCAGTGTAGTCCAATCATAATCATATCAAGTCACTCACTCACACAACTTTCTTGCTTCATTTATATACATGAGTAAAAACTGATGATTAGACATTCGAATAAAAATCAATTTACGATAATGTACATTCAGAAATAATAATAATATGAGTGTTTGGATAGCGTTATGAGAAGACGGAGATTATCTGAAAAATATGATGATGTATTTGCGTTATACATTTCGAACAATCTGATCCCCCACACATTTACTTGTCAAGTCGATATGTATATATGAAAATGTTAAATTAAACAAAGTGACAAAAAAAGGATTTAAGAATGATTAACACAACGTTTGGTAATCCAATGAAATAAGGATTACCAAGGTAGGTTAAGAATAATAATAAACTGCTTTTGAATACACAGGGGGGGGTGGGCTTAAGTTTATGAATAGCTAAAGCCTCGGCGTATTTCAATAAGCGCCCTTGACCGTTTTTATAGATGACCTTAAAGGCTGACTCAACATCAATCTTATGGTTCATCTCGATTAGATGTTACTAGACAAGTAAATGTGTGAGGAATCAGATTGTTCGAAATGTATAGCGCAAATGCATTATCATATTTTTCAGATAATCTCCGTTTTCTTATAACGCAATCCAAATTTATAAAAGAGACAAATTGATTTAAATATGAGTGTTATCAATAAAATACAATCAGATGGGAAATAAGATGTTTTTATAGTAAAAATAAGTAACTTGTTCAAATGACATAATGTGAAGTGAACGAATACACTTTAACATTATTTGTTGTCCTCCTCTGATTTGACTGACTGGTGGTAATGATATATTCCATATCTCTGGTATTTGCATTGAGTCATTTCTGTTGCATGTGTTGTGTTGGGTGTAGACTCGATGAACAAGGATTCAGTAATCAACTTCTCTCTCCACCTACATAGATTACTTCTTAGAATCTCAACCCTCTCCCACCCTATTGTGTGCTTATGTTTTAATGCATGCAGTGCAATCGCTGAGCTTTTTTCTAAATTACTTATCTTTTCGGGGTCAAATGTCTCATCACTTACACTCACGTATATAAATGAAGCAAGAAAGTTGTGTCAGTGAGTGACTTGATATGATTATGAACTGCAGCAATAATTTGCACTCGAAACGTGGTCACATCAGTTAATATTACTGTATAACACTACATTGTGTGACAATTTATCAAAATAAAATCTACCACAGTGCCCAAATTTTATACCTACTATTTATTTTTTTTTGCTTTACTTACCGATCACGAATTGCTAATCTGATATTATTAGGTGAAGAATTTTTAAGCAAATCCATTGCTTTTGATCCTGTATAACCAGCTACTAAAATATTATTAATCTCTAAGACTTGATCACCGAAACGTACACCAGCCAGTGCAGCTGGTGACCCTCCTTCCACAAAAGAAACGAATATACCCTAAATAATTTGGTAGAATATAATACATAAAAAGAAAACAAAGACAAAAGTAGAGAAGTAGAGAAGCTGTCAGCAATTTTTAATTATTTTTTGAAAAAAAAGAATCAAAGACTTACAGAACAAAAGAAATTCGTTGATAAATAACCTGGTGCTCATTAGTGACTGGTTTTATACAACAAGTTATCTGGAGTTCTAGTGGGAGAAGTCGTAAGCAGAGGAGTCCACTAAGTCTGATAACAGATCAGTTACTCGCCTGTGACATTGGCCGACGGTCGCAGTATATACCTGTATATATATCACGAACTAGCGAAAGTTGGAATTCATGCACTAGCCATTGGATCAGGTCTCAGTAGCTGAGTGGTCCACGAATTCTGCTCGTAACCAACCGGAAGGTCCTGGATTCGAACCCTGACGGTGGGTGTGTACTGTTGAGGTGTCACAAACTAGGCGGACGTAACAGTTGTCCATTACTCCGCAATGCTGGTTTTCCAATGGTTCTCTAACCGATGTTAACTTTTGACCACACCTATAACTAATTAAATCCCTGGAAAAGAGACATTTGATAAATTCCTATTCGTTCGACAATTTCCCATTAACTGCATACAACCTACTAGGTAAACAGATTGCTGTGAATGAAAAAGGGAAGAGATGAGATTTTTAAATATTTGGTGGTAAGATTGAATATTATAGATAAATCATATTGCTTAGTAGCATTTGCACGTTGACGTAGACTTTAAGCATAGACAGAGCTGATTTAGATATCATACTGATACTGTTAAGCAAAAAACTTGTTGAAGGAATTTTCAATCTAGGGCTGTAGTCTTTTAACCAGTCTGTCTGCCTCGTACGTCAGTGGTTCAATGGTGGGATGCTGGTCGATCATGCACGTGGTGCAGCATTCGATTCCTAGCCGACGCACTCCTAAACCTTGTTTGTTTGGAAGTAGCCCAAGTTAAAGGAGGGGGGTTAAACTCACTCTGTAAGAGCAACAAAAGCGACTACTGGAATTTTGACGCTTGAAGTCCCGTGCTCTCAGTGTGGTGAGAGCTGTCTACTAGCCAAATTGGTAGACAGTAATTTGCGTCAATATTTACGTTCCCAGGATTTGTCGTGAGAAAATGTGAACAAAGATTGATTCAAAACCGACCACAGCAGACTTTGCGTAGGCGGATGCAGTTAACATATAGAGGATTTGACATTCAAGAAACAGTCACAAATAGATGAAAGATTAACTTTACGTGAGAAACAACCAATCGGAAGACTGTGTTTGTTTGCTTAAATAACCATAGCAATGTACATGAAAATATATAAATATGCTTTGATTTCCTTAATAAGTGATCTGTTGCCTGACTCTTGCCTTCTGTCGTTACATCAGAACACACGGAACGCACCACCACATATGGGTGGTAATAACTAACACTCAAAATAAATAAGCCATTTCTTTGTTTAAAAATTTGTTTGGGATTAAAATATCCCAGTGTATTTTACTTTTACAATGACAAGTGAATGTTTGTTTTTTCCACTACTTGATATAATGCTGACTAGCAGTAAGCCAAAGATGTACGCCTCCTGACTTATTTGCACCCCAGTGTGATGATGTTCAAATTGAAGCCTAAAATCGACAAAAACACCTCATCATTAAAAAAAATTGAAGCGTCATGTACTAGGCCCCTGAGCCATAAGACACTCAGCCCTATTGTAACAGATGCTGACTTTGATGAACATCCTTTCTTCGCCTTTATTAGACTAAATCAATTGGCCTTTCATGATATGAAATCTTTGAACGGATAACTTGACGACACACTGAAGTAACTGACAATAATGTGCAGATTCTTAGAGAGAAATCGTTTTTGCTACAGAGTAGATCTCGTTCAGACACACATATCAAAAACACTTTATTATAACCACATTGTTGATGAACATTAATAATCAACAGAATACATAAAACTAAATACATGTTTTTTTATGCTAATATTTAACTTTTCTATTTAAAAATTTAGTGAAAAATATCCTGTGTTCAATACATCAGTTAATGGTAAACATATCTGTATATAGAACTCACTTTTTCTATATCCTTCAATTGAATTCCAACCTTACCACTATCATTTTTACAAAGAGTTACAAGTCTAATTCCTGCTTTAATTTCCACTTTGTCAAAAATGTCATGATGTTGAAAAAGAGCCAGTGGTCCACTTGGTGCAACAGGACAAAGTGCCATGGAGTTTGATGCACAGTCTGTATTAACGCCAGCCTGATTATAGTCATCATTTTTCATAGCCCCTGAGGGATTAGAAGGAACCAGTTCACCAAGATTGTTAAAATGAAAAGAGGTTGCCTCGTAACCCATATTTCTAAGAAGATCAGCATGTGATTGTATTGGTTGCATTGCTACTGATGCATCATCATACTGAGGTTCCCAAGGAGTCATATAACCACCACCGACGCCACTACCAACACCCCCACCACCACCACCTTGACTCTCCAGAAGACTGCTCAACTTCATTTGTTCAAGTGAAGGATACAGAGGCATCTAAATTTTAGTAAAAGTGATTTCAAAAAAATGTTAATAACTAAGTGCAGTAAGCTAAATCCAGTACAGAGTTGGTTTAAGTTCTGTTACAGGAGAAAATGATATTTCACATTAAACATGGACTCATTTACACGAATTATACTAATCCTTTTTTTCTTAATTTACGACACAAGACTCACTGCTTTTATACATGGACAAAATCTTGTGCTACTTATGATACGGTTAAAGTTATAAACAATGTATTTACCCAAACATGAAATTCCAGACAACAGTAAATTTTGTATAGTCTCCAATGACCAACATCAAAAAGGATAAAGGTCGCAATTATCATCCATAATGAGATAACAATGACCACAACGAAGATTGTTCTACTTTAAATATATTCACCTTTAGCATAACCTGACTAATGAAGTCCAGAATTTGGAATTTAGAAAGTTCAGATACTACACGAGTCCATTTGAATGCGTTAAATGTATATGGCTATCAGTGCTAGCTTGTTTAACGCTGGATTCTGAGGAATCCACCTCGAGTCCATGTCCCTAAAGTTAACTTAAACACGTAAAAAGTCTTAATTTTGTTAAACCATTAGTAGGACACAATTCTCGATTTCCTGATTGAACAATTGAAATAACTGACTTAACTCGATATCAGTCGCGAATCTACCGACTGCAACCTGAAGCGATAGTGACCAAGGTGTAAAACTATTCTTTCGTTATCCTAACGAATTTATTCATAGTGTATGCAACTGTACCAACCACCCGTCAACACACTGAAGTTATTCCTATATCAGTAATTCACTTTACATTTTCCTGTTCTAATAACTGGAAATACTAAAAGGTTCTACTGACCTATAAAGACATTGACTACTGTTCTAAGCCTTATAGATGTAGGTTACCAGGATGACACCCTTGGCATTCTAAAGATCAATGTCTGGAAACTCATTAGTGACATGGCTCAACATCTTTCACAATGGTGCATATTTCCTCTTTTCCCCGCCCCTACTGCCTCACTTCTAAACACAGCTACTACTCTTTACTAAGCATTTTTATATTTTTATGTATCTCTGTCCACTGTATTAGTATCGTGACATCTCTGTTATTCTGTTTCATATACTTTTTGAAGTGTTGTGACTTGAAAAGATGCACATTTGTCTGCAATTCTACACTGATTATTCAATCGTTAGCTAAAGCGATAGAATTTTAAATCACTTTGTTCTAAAGTAACGAGCAGTGCTATGAAAGGTCAATTACTAGAAGTGGCTTATAGCTTGATGCACAAGGTGTCACCTATAAACATTTCATTTATTATGACAGTTGCATTAAATCAGGCAGGCCTGTTGATGACACACACGGTTCTCGGGCCTGGCTACTATTTCCAAATATTGCTGCCAGATTTCAAGGTTATAGCTTAATAGCACACTGTCTGGCATAACTGAGCAAGAACGATAAACACTTGCAACTCATAGTGAAATAAGTCACTTGAGACTTATTATGCCAAATGAATTAAATTTAAAAAATAATCGATAGAGAAGCTGGAGAAGTTAAACTATAGCGGTCACCGCGATTGATCTTACCGCGAACCTCAAGGGACTAGGTAGGAATTAAGGTGTAAAAATGATCGCTAAATTGTTAGAATGATGACTACAGATCATGTCGTTCTGAGATCATTTTATATTTCTGATCCTGTTCTTTAATCTGCCCCAAAATCCCGATTCCCTTAAAAGATCAGTTATCCTATCAAGCTTCAAACGAAGATGCATGCTTTAGCAACTTCAATCAATTCATCATTTACACAGTAATCAAAAACTCTATCTTCTTGGAAGTCGTTAAGCATACCTAGAACAGGGGGGGGCACAGCTTGATTTAGTCATACTATCTGCAACTCTAACTGGTTGTCGAAGATCATGTACCAGAGTGGCTGCTACAGTTCAACCTCGCCCAAAAAAGAAGAATATTTCAAATACATGCAGGTGAACTGAGGTTTAAACAAGAATACTGGTTAAATAAAACAGAGATGATGCAGAGATATAGTATTATCAACTGCAAATACGACAGTAAGATTCAAAATGGTTCAACCAATCATCCTTCTCATCTTTCGAAATGTTTGTAAAGTCATTATCCTGTGATTTTGTGATGTCAGGTTTTAGCTCTAGAAGACAAGTTATCATTCTGCGACAAAGTTAAGCTTTAGTCACAAGCAAATATCAATAGACAAATGACCGATCACATGGTAAAGGCGATTTTGGAGTATAAAATACATATATTCATGAAAATAATGAATTAAAAGGCGTGAAACTGTTACACAGAATACATTTCTCCGATGTGTGATAAAAATACCGCTTACTTTTGGACAGGAGTTTTAACACACATTCTTTGCATGTAATTAACTGGGTCTTCTAACCCCAACAATAACCATAATCTTTCCTCGACATAACCCTAACGTGAAAATACCCCTAAACTAACTCTCATCCAACTTGAACCAACCCTTATGTCACCCCAACCTGTCCTTAGCCTAGACCTTAACTTAATCTTCTCCAAAACCAACCCATACACCCCATTTAATGATATAACACTTCGTTAAGCATACTTTATTGATGATTACAATATTACTTACCAGGATTCACCAAACCGCTCACTGAGCGTTTCAAGCAGGACCATTGGTCCGTCACTCATTTTGTTAAACTTAAGCCGACAGAGTGATAGAATACATATTGTATATATTAAAATTCTTGCCTTCTTTCCCTTGACATCACCGAGACCATACTTATCCATTTAAAAACTACTCCAAAGAAAACTCTGGTGCAGTGCAACGTCCCCCACCCCGGAAGCCCTTAATTACATCCTGAAAACCCTTGAATTTCCCTAAAAAAACTTTTGGGATTGTGGGGGATACCTAAGTTGATAATGCTTGAATCTGTTAATCTTGTAAATATACTGTATGATAACATAACACTTTCAGCATATATCAACATAAAAAATCCAAACGTAATATCTTTATTAAAAACGTGAAAGAAAACAAATAGTTAATAGGATTTGCGACATTCCGAATATCTGACCTTGGAGCGAAAAAGCAGAATCAGAACTGGAAAAGTCGAAATATCGCCTCTAGTAACTTAAACAAAATTCGTGGTATTTCAATAAACTGCCATAACCGAGTTGACACCGAAAGACAAACACCTCGAAAGTCAGTAAGAGTTGGGCTTTAGCCGAAGACACAGTGGTTAGGATTCTCGCCGACCATGCACATGGTCTGAGGTTCGATCCCCTGCCGACGCACACCCGATATCTATGGTCGGCCTGTGAAATTTGGGCTACCGATATCCATGCTGAAAATATTATACTTGTACTGAAAATACGGTGTGGTATCGAGCTGTAATCAAAAAAAATCGCATTTAATATTTTTATCACGACCACGAATATTCAGAACAAAAATAGTTTGATCAAAAAACTTTGAAATAAATTCTTCTTCATCTCCAAAAGTTCTCTTCTTTTCTCCTTTGTCTCATCGATAAACTTTGACTTGAGGCCTTTTGCTGCTTCATGACTCTTCCAATTATGTCTGTTAGCCTAGCTTTACGTAATACCTTTCAAACTTGTTATTATATTTGCACAATCCTATCCATTCCACTTCATTGAATTCATTTTTACTTGACAATCTTTCACTAATGGTGCTTGTAAGTTTACACCATACTATCGTTTTCATTCCATTATCACCGATATTGTCATTTGCTGACCACTAACCTTTGCTTAATCTGTCCCATTCACTCCCTGCAGTATTCATTTTATCTCACAAAACACTGACTACACTCACCCCTGAAACCTGTACATATGTTGACTATTATTTCATTTAACCTTATCTCATGTTCCGGTTGACTATATATATTCTAATTTAAAATCGAAACTAAATGACAATTATTCCTGTAGCGGCAGGTAATTCCCCAGAATTATTGGCCATACCATTCACCACCAGACATTGGATGCTGACCCTTACTATTTAGGTCAACTTTCTTAGCTGAAAGTTTCTGGTCAAACATCCACGCCATTTGGTACGCCGTTGGGTCACGTTCGTTCGTTCCCGCACGATCCTAGTAAGTTAAGCGATCATCTCGCACTCCGATTCGGTCCCGAAAAATAACTCGTAATTTGGATATTCAATTTTGGTGTTTTGCTTTACCTTTGGACTACGCGTAAAGAATACTATAGAAGTTTTCGGGTATTAGGTCTTGTGTTAGTATACTTCGTACTATCCGTGAATGTCGATGCCTTCAGCCTCTAAATTTCATTTCGTAATTGTTCCACAATATACTTCCTGATATATTTCTAATTTGCCTTTACTGGTCTTTGTTTGCTAAAGTTAATGGACTCTGTTTACCAAAACCTTTAGAACTTATTGAAAACAATCTTTTGCTCTAATCATTTTCGGAGTTATTCAGGTTACTAAGACCTTGAAATGAATAGTGATGACAGTCTTTCAAGGAAAATAGCCTTTAAGCCCTGACCAATCCTTTCGAATTTTAAGATAACTTACTCCGAATCCTGCTTTTAATGAATCGAAGGAGTTCTCTGATACAACCTGGTCGGGTAGAGAACGCCTCCGGTTCACAGAGTGATGCTAGAAGCTAACTTCCAAACTCAAGGGTCCTATCAAACGATCAGTTTACGGGGGAAAAATAAGAGGGACATGTGTTAGGAAGAGACTAGCCACACAAAGAAGAAAACCGAGTGCAGACAACAGGCAAAACTTGTTTGAGTTGGGAAAGAAGGCGCTTGGGGAACTGTCACGAGCGGGATGCCGAAGAGCACATTGGCGAGGCAGGATGTTACCTAGCTCTGAACACCTGAAAGGTGTGTACTCACCTGTCTTTGGAGTCCCCTGCAACAGGAAAAGGGAAGATGCTAGTTAGAGGAATAAAACATTTCACCACATTCTGAAGAATGCTTCACTGCCCACACAAAACATAAAGAAACAAACCATTCGTGAATATAGAAATAAAATGTCAGTGCATGGTCGTAGGTAATCTCCTTACAAATTCGGACTTGCAAGGACATTCGGTGATCTGAAATGGAGAAAGTGAGACCAAGTCTTGAGGTAACGTACGCAATGCGAGAGCGGTAAAGATAAATCCAGCTACTTCTCTAGGTGCAATAATTATTTATACAAATGAGTGTCTATTTTGAAATCCTGTATCATGAACAGCATAATTTCGACTGTGTACCTAGAGGTTGACCGGTCTTTGCATTCGGGCAGCGTCGAGGTCAAAATTTGTTCGTTCATAGAAGGCTAAATTCGGAAATTATATGGTTATGCTACTTTTGCCTTAATAAAGAATTACTGTGGTTGCACACGTCAAAATATCACAATGTGGCTTCTGCAACCTATGAAGTTCTGAGGATTATTGAGATTGAGCCAATCACTAGCGAAAAGCCTTGATACATATATGGGAACAAATGTCAACATAGTAAGAGTACTTAACGCATAAGGAGGCATGAGAAGCGAGTCAATTATTCCATTTATTCCTTGTTATCATTCCAATGAATACATGTGTACAGGTGTGATTCTAATATATCTGTCAGCACTAGGTACAGTAGGTGTAGCAATCTGGTCATAGAAGTTGAATACTTAGGACAGTTACTGTCACTGTCATTGGTTCAAGCACAGAGTTAGGAATCGTTTTTATGCCTTTCTCAAACTACTCTTTAGGTTTCTTAGGCTCAAAAATGACGGTTTATGAAATGAGCAGCTAAATAAGAAAGTTTGCTTATGAGGGGAGCCGACTCGCCCAGCCCTATAGAGAGAACTGTATGTTTCCTCTATGTCTCTTCGTTAGGGCCAGCGTCAGTTTATTCACGAAGAAATACAACTTCCATCTTTCAAATTAATACTTAACCTGGATCTTACCTAATGTAGCACGCTTTAGAAAAGTAAAAATTGTTTTTCTTCTGTTTTTCAGAAAAATACGACAACGATTGAAGCATATATTTTTTTCTAGATTTTGTTTTTATATTTTCCACCTTTCGGAAAAGTGAACCAGTGTATTTCTATAGGGATCAAATGAATTTATGTGTTTAGTCCACCAATTGTTCGTTCCATAGTCTTGCTAGAGATTTTTCACATGAGCTCAGCCCATTTCACTCGTTTGCCAGTCTTGGTAATCTTCGTGAAGAGCTTTGACGTAATTTTTAGGGGTCCTTCGTATAGTGGAATGAGGAGCAATTGTGTTTTATCGCATTTCACCACTATATAGAAGTGGGAACCCAAGTCCTTTGGTAGATAAACCTCTCTTGATTGTTCTCGTGAGTGAACCGGCCTTAAGTTAGCCATTGGTAGTCGAGTTCTTCAACATATGTGGCTGGTCAAAGTTGTTTCTATCAGCACCAGGACAGGCAAACCTCCGAGTAGTCTCTGTGTGCTTCCGAAGACAACTCCAGCTACGGATCATTGGGCAACAGTTATTATTGATGTTTGGGCACTAAGCATTACCACTGGTAGGAATTCCGTCCCGTGAGTGGGGCTGGAGTGAGATGTCGATGCAGCCTCCAGTTGTCGTTGAAAGCGCTCCATCACTCCACTAGCTTGAGGGTGATAGACTGTGCAGCAGATCCTGTGTGTAGTTGTTGCCTAGTTGTTGCAAAGCTGTGACCGAAGTGGGCTCCTCTGTCAGTTGTTGTTGTAGGCACCCCAAACATGGCTACCCAGTGTCGAAGAAAGGCTTTTTCCGCCGCTTTCAAAGTTATATCAGTAAGTGGTGCAGCGACCGGGGACCCGGTGAACTTATTCATGGATGTGAAAAGTAGATGAATCCATTTGAGTGTGGCAGGAGACCTAACAAGTCCACGGGCACATCGACAAAGCGAACATCCAGCTGTGTGAATGTTTCTAATGGTGATTCTGTGTGTTTAACATATTCCAGCCCTCTGGCATGCGATGCAATCTTTCACCCAATTCTGGACGTTGCCTTGTAGGTTTGGACAAATATATCTTGCCGAGATTACTTTAGATGAGGCATTTGCTTCAGGATGCGATAACGCATGAGCTACTAAATAGCATTCAACACAATTCTAGGGACCGAGAACCTGGGTGACTCCTTTATTGACTCGCAGTGCACTAAGTTGCCATCTAGAGGGGATTTGTTTTTCCTCCACGTTCCCCAGTGGAACATAGGGCCTGACGGTGGTGGCATGAAGTTTCTGTAGCAGTGTTTATTTTACAGGATGGGGTTGCTAGCCTCATGCCCAACCTTTCCTCTTTACCAGTCTTATTACTGGCTTAGCGAGGTAAAGGAGTGCGTCGGCCGGGGATCGAACCCCGGACCATGTGCATGATCGGCGAGCGTCCTAACCGCTATGCCACCGACGCAGAGAGGATGGCAATTGTTTAAGTTTGAGACTAGAGTTATTTGCAGTGGGGATATGTTTTAGCACTTCGTCGTTCCTCGAATTTTCGGCTGCCACCCTGAAGTCTATAGCGGTTTGTTTCACTGTAATAACGATAACTATCATTACATTAAACAGTTAAGTTTACTTGAAACGCACGCCATTCATACAGTCACGATCAGATGTGGCATAAATTACAATAGTGAAATATCGATAAATTATCAATTTTTCATATGTATTAGTGGTTGAATTATAGTACTAGCAATCAGATTAGGTCCGTATAAATGTTAAACCGTAACCCTCACGAAGATCGCCATCAAGGTTCAGCTACAACCAAAACTTCATTTCGTTTCCTGCTGATACTTATGGTCAACCAATGAACAGCCTATATTTAGCTGAGTACAATGTCCACAAGTGGTTAAAAGCTATTTCAGGAAGAGAAGAACGACACAAGAAACTACAAAGTGGTACGAAGTACATATAAGGATAATATATATATATATAAGAGGGAGCTATAGAGTCCCTGGTATGATAACGTACATTTGTAGTGTATGATGCCAACCATATGGGTCTTACTATGGAAACTACGACGTTTCCCATGAAAATGTAGTTTCGTTCAAACACTAATGTTGCCGTATTTTTCCCCACCAGCACAATCAGGATGTAGGGGAGTG